CAACATCCACCGAGTTTCCAGGAGACTGCCGGGGTGCGGGGATGTGCTCGGTTTGATGGTCACAGTTTTCATATCCGTTTTTGACAGTATGGCGACCCCGCCGTAGCCGCTGCCGTCTGGTCGGTCGACTCGGCTGAGAGAGTAGCCGGGAATCACGAGAAGTCGATTTGGAGTAGAAGGGCGCAGCCAGGTCTCGGCCAGGAGGCAGGCGTCGAAATCGTGACGGTTTAGTTCTTCGGTGAGTTCTAGTAGTTTTGGCTTCAGGCTTTGAATGTTCAAAACGCCGATCAAAAGACCGGTGTTTGCTGTCTTTGTGAGCCGGCGGGTTTCCGAGATGGTGAGTCGGGCCGGTAGAGTGAGGGTTCTGTGACTGGGCTCTGGTGCGCAGGTCGTCGCGCGGTGCTGCCGGCCGGACCCACATACGACACTGATTGATTGGTGTGCGTGAGCTCTGGTACGGCGGATCAGGTGAGACAGACGAGGTAGGCTGAGCCTGATCCTCTCGGTGACGTCACTAGTCGCGTCGTCCCTGCAGAGCAGTCTGCGGACTGCCAGCAGCTGTTCCCGGTCATACTTGGTGTTAGTCCTGACTTGGGTTTGTGGACGCTCTACACGGCGGGGTAGAACCCCAGCGTCCGAGGCGGCCGGCTGATAGCCGCAGCCCTCTCCTCCTCCCCTGGCGCGTCTGGCCCGCCGTCCGCCACGACACCCGCGGTGAGCGGGCCGGCGGCAGCGGGCCTCCGTCGCCTCCCGGGCGCCGGCCAGTGTTGACATTAGCCGGCCCGAGTCCCGTCCCCTCCGCTGGTGGAACCGGCATCCATGGGGGCGGGTGGGGGAGCTGAGGTCGGGTTCATCCGCGCGCAGTCCACGTCCGACAGAAAGTAGTACCGGGAAAATCGAGCAGAACTTCCGACTGAGAAGAGGTAGAGTTGATCTGTTTTCACGAATGCATACAGTGAATGTGAAATAGGTTGATATGAGATCCCCAACCATAGCAAACATTTAGGTGCTATACGATATGAAGGCAAAGTATATGTTGTCGCTACTACTAATCCATGCTGTTCCTCCCTAAGGCAGTTATGGTTCACGCTCTTTCCTTTTCATTTTTTTCGAAAAGCATAAAATGAAAAAGTATGCGCATAGGAGAAGCATGAATAGCAGAGAGCCACGAAGCTGGTATGGAAAATTCACACCGAATTGAAGGTTGGTGTGCACTGTGCAGCTCTCCACGTCGACTTGCATACAAAGTTACACCCATGTGGCTGTCTGAAACATCTTATGCAATATGTACTCACGTTTGCTTTGATTAATCCAGTGACCGTGCTAGGAACTTTGCGAGGTGTCAATTGACATCTAGGAAACGGTCGAATTCAATCACATCTATTCCATCTCAGTGGTAGCGTATTTCTCAATTTAACGACAAGTTTTCATATTTAAATCCTAGCTCTCAACATGAGTACCTCATCGAAGTAGCACAAATGCTACCTTATCAAAATGTCGAATCCAGGGATATTCCTGTATATATTTTCTTATATCAATTCCAGCAGGTGCCAGGGATGTGGGGACTCGGTAACGGTCTCTATTCCAGGAGTGACCTTTCAGCGGCTGTCTGGCAGGCGTCTTAAGCCGACTCTACAGAAGTTCTCGCCCTTAGTATGCGCGGCATGAGAGGCTGGCGGCCGGCGGCGGTGGCTGTGACCACTGCTCACTGCCCACGTCTCTATGTGCCCGCAGGCGAGCTCCCCCCCCCCCCCCCCAGTACCCCCCCCCCCCCCATCCACGCTCCTGCAGGTGGGGGGGGGGGCTCGTGCGGGGGGGGGGCGACGCTCTTCAGCCTGCCGGATGTCACCATCGACCGCCCGTCGCTGCCGACAGGACGTGTCCGCTCAGACACAAAGAAACTCCTGCTCTGTCTATCGGAGATACGTTTGTTGCCGGGGCATTCCACGTCAAATCAAACAAAAATCGGCTGTTTTGCACCTTACCATCAGCGATTTCATTATAAATTTGTGAGCGAGTTCCTGTGTCGCCCCGAACATTACATTGATGTTTTTTTGCACATTCTGACCACAGGTCTTCCAAATATAGGGCATCGAATTTTTACAAAATGTTGCATCTTTATATTTTTGAACGACCATAACTTTGGTTGTACTTGTTTGATTTGAATGAAATAAACCTTACTGTTTAGGTAATTTTTTAAGCATTTGTTTAGAATTGCACCTACTTAAATATATGACCTTGAAATTTGCTTAACTCTGTTCTTAAGCACAAAAATTGAAATAGCAAAAAACACGTCACCTTCGATTTGGCTAATTTTCATATATTTTATTGCCTACCATATGCTTAACAACCTGTGAAAAAATTAGAGTGGGCCATTCATAAGTTTTGAAGAAAATGGCACATATGCAAACGTATGTTAGCACGCGCAGTGGAGGGGGAAGAGTGAATTTCGCCCCACCCCTCCTGTTTTTCGCCAATATCTCATAGTATTAATGCGAAATTAATTATAGCTACCTGTCCAAAATTGAATTGCACATCTCATCGTGCAAGCAAGAAGAAAATCGGTTCACAACTGGTCTAGTAATAGCGGTGTAAAGTGAACATCCTGTCGCCGCGGCGACGCGGCGACTCGGCAGCCGGCGCCGACCGCTAGCCACCGCCTGAATTGTAGACTGTGCCGGGACGGCACGGAACGGTTCCGTCTTTACATCGCGCTCCTTACCGCTGAGATCGTTCGATTCGCGTCAAATTTTGTGAGAAGACTAAGAAATGTACAGGCAATCTTATGGTGTAAGAATTTTGAAAATCGGTTGGTAAACAATTGAAATATGAACGTGTAAACACAAAATTGTGATTGCTGCGTTTCCCGCGTCGGCCGATCCCGCCTCAGCCGGCGACATGTTACTCTTAGCAGGTCTCTAACTGCCATGTTTAGTATTGGATCAACTAGAAATTCCCCATACATACTCAAAAATGTATATTCTTTCGTATAGTGAAGATAAAAAGACGTGAAGATATCGTTGCGTGATAATGTTTTCGTTGAATTTTTGGCTTCATGATGCATTTCCACACGGCTCAAAATTCACCGCAAAATACCGTTTGCCTGAGACACTTTTACTATGGAACTTGAATGCTTGACTACGATGACTATGTATTTCCATTCTCGCAGAGTTTGGGATATCACTAATCAGCAATCATTCATTTCAGAAAGTGTACACAAGCAAGCATGTCTTGACTCTCTCTTTCAAGGTCACGCGCGGTTGCGTGATGTTGATGCATGAAAACGGCGTTTGCCGCGAGAGTTATGAATGGCCCACTCCAATTTTTTTCACAGATGGTTAGGAACATTGTGACGGACATAATATGTAAAAATTACCCGAATCGAAGGTGACGTGTTTTTTGCTATTTAATTTTTTCTGTTTTAATTCAAGGTCAAATACATTTCAAGGTCACTTCAATTTAATTTTATAATTAAAAATCAAAGCCTTATCAATTGCCTACAAGACCCTGTTAATATCATTTTGATACCAGAAAAGGAACCAGAGTTATAGACATTTAAAAAATTGATGTGTGGCATTTTTGGCTATATTCGATGACCTATATCTCAGCGATACTTTATCAAATTTCGAAAATATTGTACGTAACTCAGTTTTGAACCATGCCCAGTCTGCCTACAAATTTTCAGAAAAATCGAAGGGGATGACGGATTTCGGTGTTTGATTTGACGTGGAATGCCCCTGCCACATAACAGCGAAACTTAATGACCTGTCTTTTCAGAATTGATTACATTCTGCACGGGAAGTGATCCTCCAAGATGTCAAAGTTACCTCATCAGCAAGGTGAAGGCATGCTAAACTGTGTCGAATGATTATGTTTTATGATAGCAATGACACTCTTGCCAGTATATTTAGCGTCATTTCGCAGACTCGATTCTCGTCCCAGACCACTTCCATATTTTCTTTTACCAGGTCACATCTCTTCTTCAACTAATCACTATCCAGCCCAACCAAATTCCTAACCACTTCTTTTACCTAGATAAGCCTTGTTCCTTTCACCCCTCCATCTCGACACTTATCTTTTCCATTCTGTTTCATAATTAATTTCCTTGAGACGTCCTGTTCTCCACCACTATCACCGCACCAGCCCTATTCACTGCCATTCACCCAGTTCCTGAGATCTCAGAAGCTCAGTTCTCTCCGCCACTCTGTCTCAGAGCTCCGGAGAGAGTGGCAGCCGTCGGTCAGTGCACCCTCCACGCGTCTGGCTGCTCAGAGCTCGGCTCATTGTTCTCGGCTCAGTGCAGGGAAATGTAGTGCAGCCCACTCAGCTACCCGGTCCCTGCAGTCTATTACTTCAGCTACCAGGCTACGCGGCAGGCGGATCAGACCAACGTCTGATGTGGTCCAGAATAGCCTCCAGTCGAGGGCTTGCTTGGGCTGGTTATAGTCGGTGCTTGTAGATAATGATGTTTATGGGAATATTGCCGTCATGCAAATGCCACCCGGCGTTGCCATAAAGTGAACCGACACGCACTCAGCGAAGTTGATGAGGGATATTGGCTGGGACCCCAGGCGGAGACCTAGGGTCCCCGATGGCTCACGTGCACGCTCATCGAGGATCAATTTGTCACAGAAGTTGGGGTCGACCCGCTAGGCAAATACAATGCGAGCTGACGGCCAAACACTCACTCTGCGTTTTGAGTCTTGGATTATATTTTGACTTGGGTGCCTATGTGGGATCAATGTTAACTCATTGAGCACAGAATTGGCACTTGAACATTATCTTGAACTAATTCTTCCCATAAAATACACGAAAAACAAACCGAACGTTATCGATCAGGACCAAATAATTCAACTGTAGCAACTCCAAAACAGAGTAAACAAGGACGATTATTGATTTCCAGAGGTCGATTGAAACGAGCATCATTGACCCACTGCTGACTGTCCAGATACACTCAAGTACTAGAACACAAGAGAGTTGAAGTGGAGTTTTCAACTTACCTTTTGTTCTTGGAGCTGTTCTATCCTGTATATCAAGTCATCGATGTTTCCCTCTTCCGTTTGTAGTGATTTCAGAGGAGATGCATCTGAAAGAAACAAAGTAAGCGTCAGTGAGTTTGTCAGAGTGTTTAGTTCAAGTGTCATATAACCGATGATGCTTATATCATCAGCATAACTATAGCATTAGGGGTCTCCTTTATTTCTTGCAACGCTATGCAGTATTGCTTGCAAACTGGCTTAACGAGCTGTTAGACGTTATTCAACAGCGTCGCCATAAAGTAACGCATGACTTACGAATAACTAGAACTAGAATGAGTAGATACTGGATATGTCAAGGCGCAGGATGGGCAAGAGGACCAGCATATCCCTCATGACGCAGGGTCAAGCGATTATAACTAGATTATGCAGTGATGTCAGTTAACCAAAGTGAGATAAACTTATTTCTAAAATAAAACAAGACAAACACTGGCAAACGATTCTCAGTGACTGCTGAAGAAGATGGCAGAGTTTTTCAAAGATTATATAACCGCGAATTTCATTTCCAGGACCATCTTATCTCTCGGATTGAGTGTTTGCCGAGACCACCCCGTGCCTGATCTCCAATCCCATTCCATTTAGCACTGATCCGACTTTGGAAAGAACTTTGAAGTGATCAGGGTTCGAGCTTATTGGAGCAAACACAGCCTGAACGGTCCCAGGCTGGCTATCCGTTCTTCAAGGCGCCGCGGTTGCGGTTGGTTTGGCGCATGCTGCACCGCATTACAGAGGTGTACTGCGGAACAGCATACCTTCACGTCAGCGCTCGAGGTTCCAGGATGAGAAGGGACCGACCGCGCATGGAGAAAGCTGTTTTATTTAGTGTTTTTGTGATTTTGTTACGGCATTGCTGCAGTATTTAGTATAAACATTTGAAAAAACGACTCGCATTGTAGGGTGGTGGAACTCAGCTTTTTTGTTCTGGATTTTGCTGAATTATGAGATGTAGTTATAGAAGCGAAGCGCCACCAGGAAAACTTACCAACGCTCTATTATGTAAAATGGGTCTCTGGTCAGTTCACTGGGTCACCATTTTAGGTAAAAAGTAAAGTCAGCACGGCTCCTCATCCTGCAAGAGACTTTCATGTTCCACCTCCACAGCGAAAAAAAAAACAAGTTATTGGGCTGCATTTTCGTATAGTAAAACTTATTAGTTCGTATCCCTCCTGGGCCAATATGCCCAAACTCAGCATCGAGGCCCAGCAAACTTCTGAACGGATGTGACAAGAAAGACCGCCGTCGTGGTCCCCCAGGACACACCATTCAATCGGAGCCCTATTGACCTCCGTCTCCGGGGCAGTTTATTGTCGTTCAGCGCACCGCTGCGGGGCACATGTGTCGACCTCTGACCTTCCGGTCGTTGCGCATCCCCCGGCCGTCTCAGGTGACCGCACACTAATGATAATGAGCTTCCCGAGACAGCCGGACGGACAGGCAGCGAAGCCGCCGGCTTAGGATGTCAGCTTCCGACACCGCCTCGTCAGGTTTTTTACCGCAGTGTGTGCATGGTTGATGTTCTTGTTTATTCAGCCACGGCCATGGATACGCCGCGATAACACGGATATGTAGTGTGTTGCTAACAATCTAGTGTAGTGACTAGTGATAGATATGATGGAGATAAAATGTTGGTATATCTATGTGCAATGTATGTGCTAATAAGCAGCAGATTTTCGTTGCCGTGGTTCACAGTTGGACGGCATGTGTGCATACTGCCTACTGTATTAGCTTCAGCGTCAGCAGAGGCGAGGCTTGCGCAAGACAAGATTGAAAATCAATGAAAGTAAATGATCAGAAAAGCCATCCAAAATTAGGTCTACCGCCTGGCAAATCAAATCACATTCGGACCAAGTGAAATGAACGTGACTTGGATGGCCACTGGCAGTTCTCCAAAGGCCAACCAGCGCGGCATGCCGGCATGAATGCTAAAGGCTGAGCAGTGAAACAGGTTTGAAGCTGACTTGTCTGAAAGTCAGGAAATGATGTAGGCAGAGCTGTGTGCAAATGGCCTATCCTGAATACATCATCAATAACTTGAGCCAGGCGGGGATTTCATCTCTCCAATCATTGGTCAAGAGGACAAATGATATGCTTTGATGATCACAGATCGTGTGCGTTGCAACCTAATGACCGGTATATGATCGGACTGTTTTTAAAGATCTGAGTAGGTTTACCCCATCATCTCGTCCGCATGAAACGACAGCCTCGATTTAGTATTTCGTATGTTGAAAAAGAAATGCACACTTGTCTGACACAAATGACATTGGAAGGAAAGGAAAGCTTGAGGGCATTTATAATATGAGAAATATTGGAATTTTTATGGGACGGAAGTCGAATACAAGTTTTGTAAATACGTGAGCATTGACAGTCAAAAAGTAAAGGACATCTTACAGGAAATGCTGAGAATCCAATGACAGGTTAGATAATAATGTAAATATAGCTCTGTGGCTTAGTCCGGCAGTCTGAGCTTGTTGCCACCTCACTTATCAACCAATTACCACAGAGACATTCCAAATATATTCAAGACGACATACAAATATTCTGGTTCAAGGAGCCTTGCTTACTGAGTCAGATAATATTAGCAGTCGCTGTATACCTATCTAAATATATTTTGAATTTATCAATCGCGTGTTTCCTTCTGTTCAATTTTGCTACCGTTAATGATCATGTTATGAATCCACTCCTACTTTTTAATGCTTCATTTGTATGTAATAACATGAGGTGCTTCTAAGTTTCACCAACTCAATGCCTTTTGCTGCCTGTTTGTAACCATCGGAATGCAACCGTGAAATACTCGCATGTTCCCTGGATTAAAAACCATTTACAATAAAAGCTTAATATACAGGTAAAGAAAGAACTACTTATACCTGTCCGGTACTTGTGAAAAATTTTCACCTTGGAGAATCTCAATTTTCAACGCAAGAAAATCCCATATCTATGTAGAATCAGTCGAGATATCAGAACCTCACAATTCACTCAAATAAAAATCGATTTGTTTTAATTCTATCTTGTCCAGTTTTCAAATTTTGCAATAGAGCAAACTTTCCGTATGTCGCAATGCCCAAGGTCAAGGCCAGGATAAACACACGCAATATGCGGGGCGGCACCATGCCTTCCTGTCAAACAACAGCGTGCCTCACTGACACTACTGACCCGCATACCAATTGCTCTCAAATGACGGGACCTCACTCCACCGTGCGTAAACAAAGGCCCAGTTGACGTGGTCGGACACACCGTCACGATCATGGCTCCACTGCTGAGCGGTGACCTGGGTCAGGTCACGGAGCGAGCAGATTAAACACATGTTGCACAGGCCTGAAGGACACTGCGTGGTGACCGTGAAACGCGGTGAGCTGTCAGCGGGCTGAGTGGCTGAGAGAGGAGGCTGGACGGTCCGCCAGGGCCGGTAGTGCCGTATGGAGTTCACCCAGACGCATTACGGTCACTCTAGCATGGTAAGGGTCAATGAATACAGTGCACGTGCACTTTATACACACACTAAAACACACACGACCCGGGCTCCGTCGGCGGTGACCCTGAGAACTGTGGGCTGAGGACCGCGCGTTTCCACTCGTCTCTCAGTCTAGCGATCCCTCTGATCAGTCTCAGTCTCTCACCTCTGGATCCAGTGCTGGTGGTGACCAAACAGAGCACACAGCCGGCGATGAGGACCGCGGTCCGGCCAGCCGGTGCCATGGCTGGCGCGGCGACTGGGTGCGGCGGAGCGGGCGGCAGCGCGCCTCTCACAGGTGTGCGCCGGCTGCGGCCATGTTGCCACTGATAGCCGGCCGATCGATAGCGCTACAGTGGCCGCCGCGCGCCGGGCGCCGGGCGCCGCCGTAGTGACGTCACAGCGCCTCGGCGACCTCGACCCGGCCGCCGCCGCCGCGGGGAAAAACGCCGGTCAATACGGGGGTACCTGACACACGGCCGGCGCCGCAGAGCAGTGCCCCGCGGCGCGACAGATTGGGCCGTCAGGAATGGAGGTGATCAGCGCGCAATGACCTGTATGCGGCGGGGTCAGCGGGGGAGCACAGACGGTTGTGCAGTGACGGCTGAGACGGGACAGGCTGACCCCGTGACCCACCTCCCCGTAGCCAAAGAACTATATTGATATGGGGCTATGACAGTACGCAGCAGTGTAATGCCGCTCAATCGGAGCAATAACCGGCTCGGCAGTTATTGGCTTCTTTGGCTATATATGTGCATGTATGTACTTACGGGTGGGCGCTGATGTTTTATAGTACAAAAGAGACGCTTTAGCATAAATTGATCAATAGGAGCTGAAATCCAGCATACGTACCTACTCGAACTTTGATGCAAGACAGATCTTTCGAAATTGTGAAACCAACTCAATTTTCAGGCCAGGTCAGGTCACTGACCTACGACGTCATAAGCAAACCTCTGCACGGTTAAAAACTGTCAACTATGCAACACTTAGCATGTGTAACAACGGGGGCGAGATAGAGAGCCCTCGCCATTTCGACCACGATTGAATTAGAGGTTCACAGCAAAAAGCGTGTGTACCGTTGCTGATGAGATGCAGCGCCTGGTGTCCAATTTTGATGTCTCAGCTCCCCCTCTCCCTCCTCTCATCAGGGTAAGAGAAGGGTCAAACAATACCTATGTTCGATTTTTACACAAAAAAAACACAATTTCTCGCAACATGATTTTGCCGTGGTTATTCAACACACGACTTTGATCGCTGACCGCAGATGTCACCGGTAAATTGTCGAAGATCACAAGCAATTAAGCTGCATTCATTGCACTTCATGACGGCCAGCAAGTTTTGTTTTTGTTGAAAATCCTGCTGAACAACAAAAAGCTTGATTAATGAATATCTAGGTACTCCTACGTATGTAAGTACTCAACTGCTTGACTTACACTGAGAGCAGCAATTACAAATTATCAGGTCAGTAGATCCAGAATGACTCCGAAAATGATACCAATAATCAAACACCGCTCCCCCTCCAAATGTTGTAGGCAAGCCTATGCATGCGGAAATGCACAGGGGCAGCGTATATAGCTTAGCATTGTCCTGGCCCGGCCCTCGGTAAGCTCCCCGTATTTTCAGCAGAGGCCGCTGGCAGCCTGCGTACCAGGATTGCAGATGGCGATAGCAGCGGCGCTATGCTATGTAGGACGGTTTTCCTAACCTTTACCAATGCTGGAATGCCAAGCTCTCAGACATAATTTACCCTATTGACTCGGGCAAACACTTAACATGTTGGCATAAGCATTGCTGGAACACCTAGATGGTAATTTAACCCTTGCCCGCTGGTGGGGGGGGCAATTTGCCCCCTCCCCCTGTGTTTTGTTTTCTAAATAGCAAGAAAACGGCGGCGCGTAGCGCCGCCAAATTTTCATTAACTTCCCGGGCAACAATTTGACACCTTCACACAAAATTTCAAGTCTTAGGTCACCACAGGTCAGGAGTTATTGAGGTCAAACTGAGGTCATTTTCGAGCAAAAATGAGCAAAAAACATGATATCTTAAAACGCTCACAAAAGCTACAGTTACCTAGCAATTTCAAAGTTCTTAATATGGTCATGTAGAAAAAAGGCGGCGCTACAAAACTGCTATGTCGGATTTTCAGAATGTTGGGATTTTGACAAAAAAAAATCAAAAAATTGATTTTCTTAGAAAAACGCAAAAAATCCCAATTTTTTCCCCGACTTTAAAAAACCGGGATATATGTGATAGTCCCTGCGCTCTTCTATATACATACCAAATTTTAGATCGATACCTCGTTTTTTTGGCCAAGTTATAGCGAAAAAAAAACTGTTCAAAATTGATGACGTCCAATTTTTGAACTCAATTTGTAGCAATTCTAGACCACGTAGCGCAAAACAAAGACCACCATTGAACTCCCCGTGACAAGCTGCGGATCGATATTTGACACCCACTCAGCCAGCATTATTACCTTGGCCCCACATGGGGCCAACACTTAACACTAGACCACGCGAGATGAGATGAAGGTGGGCCACTTGGTGGGGCCCACATAAATTTGTCCCAGGGGAAAATGGTGGGACCCACCTGGGCTGGCCCACATGGGCTCAAGGTGGGTACCAAATAAGGCCCACGTGGGCCCCATATGGCTGCCCACATCCAGCCCACCTAAACCCCACTACATGGGCTGCCTACGCAGTGCCCACGTTTACCCCACCATTCAGGAACACCGCGTGAATGCTTGCAAAAATATATGTTCACCAAAATTCCTGGGTATGCCCTTTTTATGGTGCAGACAAACTCATTTCCAAGTACTATGCATGTCAAAAAATACATGGGCAGCCCATGTGGGGCCCACATGCAGCCCACATATCTGCCCAGTGCCCATCTCTAGCCCATGGCCCACCTAGCCCATCATGCCCATCAACTATCCATGTGGGGCCCATATGGTCATGTTGGCTGGGCATTTTATGCAAAAATATCAACTTTGAAATCTGACCTAATTTGACCTGACCTTGACCTGACCTTGTCCTGACCTTCACCAGAACATAATATCAACTGACCCCAAAGTGCATAATCGCATTTGGCATATAAAATGGACCATAAAACATGCATCACATGATTTTTTTTCATATTGTGACCCTCAGTGACCTGACCTCTGTGACCTGACCTGGTATCAGTGACCTCAAATAGCAAAATATGTGTTTGACGAACCCCCCAGCGATGATATTCAATGAAATGCATTTTACTCGATTTTACAGCGCATTTTACAAACCGAACTCGTATCTTGGCGCACCTGAGGTGACCTCAGATGTCATCAGCTAAACTGAGGCTTTAAAATCAGGAACCAGTGGTTACGTCTCATAATGGCCAAACACTCTTTGTTTTCCGCGAGGCTCTAGCTTAATTAGCGGCGAAACGTCGAGGGGTCATACCTGCCCCTTTCTTCGGCCCCCTCGTACCTGTAGGAAATGGATAGGTCCGGTTAGGGTAAAAAATAATACCAGCTTAATGAGGCACTTGATTATAGACCACTACATCAGAAAAGGGTCTGTTTTGCCTTTGACTTGCTTTATGATGTAGGGATGGCAAAAATGACATAAAAATTGCTACTTATGTCTATATAGTAGCACTAGGTATATACCTATAACGACTAATTGCAATGCCTTCATTCTAAGGTTCGCATTGTTCATGTAAAATTGGCATTGACAATATTTGCATGCGCCTCATTACTTATTTCATTGCATAGGTAGTTATATTGCCAGCACAACTGGACACATTTCTGGCAATAATACCGTATGTCAGTGACCTGGTGGCACAGGTTCTAAGCAAAATATGCTCACTTCATGCCATGCCGTAAAAAAAAATAGATAAAAATGCTAGATGCTCTTCCACTTCTTAATTTCAGCCGTGTTATAGATCAAGTACTAAGCTGCTGACGCTTTGGACGACAAAAGACTGTCACGCGTAGCCATCAGTTCTCCTCCAGCGCCGACATTCGGGACCTGTTGCTATCGCTGGGGCCAACTCTCCCAGGTCGGAACCAGGCTGATTGGCACGCCTGTCCCCCCCCTCCCTCCCTGTCGCCCCTCCCCCCCCCCCCCCCCCCCCCCAGACAGGCCGAGGCGGCACGGCGATGACGTCACAGCAATGCCCCGGAGCATGTCGTACTCGTCGGGAATGTTCCCGAAGGAGCCAGTGCAGCCCTGTTCACCACCGCAGAACGGCCGGCGAAACACTGAAAGACCGGATGGCAATGGTAATTTTATGTGGGGACTCTGATTAGATGGGATTAGGTGATAAGATCCGGTGAAACGAAGCGAGTGGAACATGGCGGAAGAGGATTGCATATTTGCGACTCGACCAGCCGACCAGCTTCATGTTGCCGGTAGGTCGACTACTTCGCAAACTTTCAGCAAGATATCCTAGGGTTGACTATTAAGTAATGGAAGCATGCCTTAAGCAATTAAACGTTATTGCACGTGCACATATTTTTTTGGTGTCATTTCATGCGCCGATGTTTTTTTTCTATCCAATGGTGAAGACCACATGTCCTTAGCTACTTCTTGGTCCAAGCTATCGTCGTTTTCCCAAGAGACCACCCGAACCTGCGGCGCACCATGAAAAAGGAGTCTGGCAATGGCCAAAATCGCGCGCCAAGCGCCAGCGCGAGGTCATCACAGCTCATTGGCTTATTGTTATGGCTACATGATGGACAGTTGCTATATTTTCGTCAAAAAAAAAAAAAATACACATAGGCACGATAAACGATAGCATACAGTATACACTGCTCCACATAGTCGCCTTCAAGCATCACACACCGTTCCAGCCTCGTCTTGACCCACTCCTGGAACGCCGCCAGAAGACTGATCGGCGCTTTCTTTCTCAAACCGATGAAACCACCTAGGGGAGAGTGGGGCAAAGCGGCCACCCTAACGCTTCTCACGATGCCAACGCTTGATTTTTAAACTTGGAAAGATTCTTTCTATATCAATGTGATCCCTATTAAGTTGCCTTTTATTTCAACTGCGTTTTATTTCCAAAGGCGTTCACATATGGAAGCTATTGACAAAACTTTAAACCTATGCATATTGGCCACTTTGCCCCATACCCTGGGGCAAAGCGGCCACCGGCATCTTCTCAAGCCCCGATATGAGAAACAAAATAGTTGCCTCGTGTACGACTAGGGTATTTGATGGTGACAAGGTTAAGTGAGGATAGATGTTTACTTTATCATCTTCCACCTGTAGGTAAACAAAGAAAGGATTTTCATGAAAAAAACATTTAATTGCCTTAATTGGTAACTCATGCAACTGAAAAGTGGCCAAGATGAATGCATGACGACACATTTGAATATAAATAATGTTTTTTATCCAGATGGAAACAACTTATGGCCAATTGGGGGGTGGCCACTTTGCCCCGGCCACTTTGCCCCGC